TGGCGTTAACTCCTATGGTCGAAAAGCAGGTTAAACATGAGCCACCTGTGCCCTCCCAGGGCTGAGGACAAGGTCCTGGCTGGGAGTTGACATCGGGGAGTCCTTAGCACGTAGGTGGTATTGAACTAAGGGAATGAGAGAGGGCAGAGAAGAGAAGAGGCCCAGCGATGACAGAGCCCACCCATAGTGGTCGGGAGAAGAGCAGGAACCAGCAGAGGAGACTGGGAAGGCACAGTCCCGGGGTTAGAAGAAAAGGCAAGAGGAAGAGCGGTGTCCCGAAGGCCACGGTCAGCTCAGAGCAAGCACAGTGCCAGGGAGAGTAAGTGCACCCGTCAGAGACGGGCCAGCCTGGCTTCCTGCCTTGCCCCTTCCCACTCTCACTGGGCAGCTGTTTCCTGAGCCTGGAGAGGAGTCTGAAGCACACTGGAGCCCTGCTCTTACGGAAGGGCAGAGACACGTAGATTAGCAATTCTTTGTGGTGTGGTAAGAGTGGGGCCGCTCTTGTAGCGGAGATGGGGGTGCACAGAATGGGGGCACAGAGTATGAGAGCTGCTGAAGGTTTTCTCAGGGTCCAGGGAAGGCAGGGCCGCGTGTAGACCATGGGGTGGTGTTCACAGTGGCTTCCTGAGTGAGGAGGACCAGGTGGGTTCTAGATCTCCCCAGGCGAAGGCGGCACGAGGAGGCCGTTCCTAGCGGTCTGCGGAAGAGTCCCGGAAGTAGGGACATCTAAAGAGGCCACAGGGAAGGGGGAGAGGCCTACGTGGGTGGGGAGCTCTGGCCTTTGGGGCTGCTTGGAGACAAGGTGCGGAACTGGTGCAGAGAGGCAGTGGGAACCCTTGACCCCAGGAGCTCATAGGTAGTTAGAAGGTGAGCACAGCCCCACGGATCGGGGCGGGGGTGGCAGGCGCACGAGTGGAAGCTCTTTCATCAGGAGGTTGGCTTGATGGGATCCGGGAAGGCTGCCAGTGGGAGGCAGAGCTTGGAGACCGTGTGGGCTTTGAGTGCACCCAGATGCCCAGAACAGCTTTCTTGGCAGAGGAGAGCACGCGTGCCAAGGTATCGAGGCAGGAGTGGGCAGCACGTGTCCAGGCAACACAGCCTGATGGGAGAGGGGATTAGCCGGATCCTTTGGAGTCAGACCGAAGAGGCTTCCCCCACCTTCCCCCACCTACCCCCACCCCCTCACCTGGGAAGCCATTGCAGCTTCCTGAGCTGAGGAGGGACACAGTTGGGTCTCGTTTTAGGAAGATCTGTCAGGCAACAATGTACAAGACGAATTTGAGGGGAAGGGCAGGGGTCCTGGAGGTAGGAAGAGCCTTTGAGAGGCAGGTGCCCACCCGGATTGGGGGTGTTAATGGCCTCAGCCCTGTGGGGCAGGGAGGGGCTGATAATGCAGGAGCACCGCAAGGCCTTGGCCACCCCCAGAAGACTACAGAGGGGCTGCCCAGGGCCAGCTGGGGGCAAGGAGGGCCACGCTTCTGTGTGTTGGGTTAAGCTCACATGTAGCTAACACTAGGCCGGCTTCTTTCCATCCACTGCCCCGCTTAGCCCTCCCTGCAGCCTTAGGAAGTAGGTCCCCCTGTCATCCCCATTTAGAAGAGGGACACAAGACTCAGAAAGGTACAGTGACTTGCTGTGACACACAGCTGGTATGTGATGGAGCCAGGATGTGAACCCACATCTCCCTGACGAGGCCAGTCTTTCAGGATGAGCTACGGGACCCCGGAAAGAAGAACCATGAACCGTTTTGTCAAGCACTTATTCTGTCCCAGGCACACACAGGCGTCTTTATCAGAAAGGCCAGGCACGTATATGATGCCTTTATCTCAGCTCAGGAACCTGCAGTGGCTCCCCAGTCCCCGGCCCAGTGGTCTTACCTCACTTTACAGAGGAGGATGTTGATACTTGGAGCAGATGTGTTGCCGGCCCAAGCTGGGGTTTGAACCCAGGGCTGTGTTCTTTTGACATACCTCGCTGCCTGCTACCTGGCAGGAAGGGGGGCGGGGGTCCTTTGTGCACAGTGAGCATCCAGAGCTGGAGGTGGGAGAGGGAGACAGCCTGGAACCGGCCTCAGGGCCAGGTCCACTGGAGTTTCCAAGCTGGCTGCCTGCCTTTTTGTCCCCCTTTGGCTCTGTGCCTATAAATCGTGTGCTTCTTCTCTGAATAGGGCTGTGTGTTTTCCCCTGGGGAGCCGCGCCGGCCGGCTACAGGTACAGATAGAGTTGAATTTGGGATCGGGCCTTCTCTCTGGCCCAGCCTGGCCGCTGGGTAACCTCTGGCCTGGAATGAAAGGCATTCCAATAAGTGCCTTGCTGGCCCGCAGCCCGACTGTGTGGTAGGTGGGGGCCTGGGTGAGAGATCAACCGAGGAAGGATACAGGAACCTGAGAGCCGGGCAGAACTTTGCCAAAAACTCCCATAGCGAGCTGCCTTCTCAGCCGGTGCCTCGGGAGCATTTGGAAGGGAGAGCTGGTCACGAGGAGGCCTGGCTGCCCTTCCGGCCCAGGCCGGACCCTTGGGCCTCCGGGCTCAGGCTCAGCCCAGGGAAGGAGGGCCCCTGGGGTAAAAACACTGGGCAGCTCAGGGAAGGATCCAGAAATCAGATACTCTCGGCCTCGTCCCCTTGGCCTTGGGCTTCTCTTCAAGCCCTCGCTGATCAGAGCAGCCTCCTGTCCCTTTGAGGGGTGAGGCGGGGTTAGCAATCAGATCCATCTGTTTTCACAAGCAATTGAGAGAAGTTGGGCTCTACTCCGCCTTTGGTCTAATCCTGGGTTTGTCCCAACCCCTCTCTGGGGATCCTCTATGAAATTTAAGGGCAGGGCAGTGGGATCTTAAAAATCTTTTCAGTCCCTTAAAAGATCAGGTGTGAGGCCCTGTGGTGTAACAGGAGGGGCCGTAGCTGCAGAGCCAAGAGTATGGACATGAGGCTGGTGCCCCATGGCCTGGTGCGTGTCAGCATCTGTGTGTCTCTGGCACATCAGGGTTCCCGTGCCCCACTCCCTCTTCACCTGACGGTAAAGCGTTCTGGGAACCATGATCAGCCATTGGCAACCACAGGGGAAGCAGCCAGCATAAACCAGGAAAGATCAACTTTGTTTGGCTTGGGTGTCTTCCTACCAATCCTTTAGTGTCAGAGGGGTTGACATTCTGGAAATTGACTTCATCCCCAACACTGAAACCATCCTGGGGCGCCTGGGGGGCTCAGGTCATGATCTTGCAGTTTGTGAGTTCAAGCTCATGTCAGGCTCTGTGCTGACAGCTCAGAGCCTGGAGCCAGCTTCAGATTCTGTCTCCCTCTCTCTCTGCCCCTCCCCCACTCATGCTCTGTCTCTCCCTGTCTCTTAAAAATAAATAAATGTTTAAAAAAAAAAAATTTTTAAAAAAAATACTGAAACCATCCCAGGATCCGGACTCTGGATTGGGACGCCCTTGCTTCTGGAAGCGGATACTAAAACCTCCAGCTTTATCTTCCTCCCAGTTTCTCCTGATCGCCCTCCCATTCTTTTCTAGGCCTTCCTGGTGGTGGTTTGAGTTTCAGGAGTCTCTACCTGCAGAGTCAACACAAGTGAGCAGTAAGAGAAGCACTGATTAAGGAGATAGAGGCTAACTCTGAACACAGGCATGCCTGCAGAGCCCGTGCTCGCTTCAGACCCAAGTTGGGCTCAGCCTAATGCTCTCCAAAGCTCCTGGGGTGGGGGGGGTCGCGGAACCTGGGGTTCTCAGTGCTTTGAGCCTCTGCAAGGAGGAACCATCCGTCCTCTTAGGCTACAAGCTGGTATCTAAAGGAAATCGCTGCTACTGTAGATTTAAGGAGTTGATAGGAGGCAGCTGTCTTTTGCAGGAAGCCCTCCAGATGGCCCCAGGCACATCCCTCTCTCCCTTCTTTCTTCCTTCACAGGACTCTACACACTCGGGCTCTGGTTGTCCCACATGGGGAGGCTTCTCTCCTGACTCTCCCGTCCAGTCTGTGGTGTGGAAAGCTGTGATATTTTGCATATTATCTCAGCCGTTACTCCCCAGGATAAGAGGCTAAGACCCAATGGCAAGGGCCAGGGCTCATAACTTGTGCCTTCTGGACTGGCCATTGCCACAAAACCTGCGTTTGGTGCATTGGTTGGGTTTCTTTGCCCAAACTTTCCCCCTCCCTTTTTTTTTTCAAATGGAAGTAGATTTCTGGTTATAAAAATACTCCATGTGCTGAAAAAGTAAAAAAGCACCTGTAATCCCAGCACTTGGGGGTAACCGTTGAAGCACATCTTGCCTGATTTAGTTCTGTGTAAGCTCATCCACATTTGGCATACAATAAAGAAATTATACTGTGTTTGGTTTTTCTTTTTCTTTTTTTTTTGCAACCTACATTTCTTTTAACCCAACAGATCCTGTAGATATCTCCCCAGTAAACACAGGCCTACCTCACCTGCGTGGAGGGCTCCATACGTGTCCTATTTTATGTTTGAGCCACAACTAATCCCCTATTGATGGATTTGGAGTTTTTCCCCCACCTCTTCCCCATTGTACATGGTACTGCAATAATAAATACCTTCCCGGATAAATATTTGTGAACATCTTTTTTTTTTTTTCTTAGAATAAAACAAGGAATAGAATTGGAAAGCCAGAGGACAGGCATACTAAGATTTTGTAAGCGAAATGCCAGTTCACCCTCTCCCCAGTGATACCAGAAAGTGGTGGGCGCCTAACTGGCGCTGCTGGTTGACTTGCTGGCATATCTGAGTGGACTGATGTCTGGGAAGTGGCTCGGCCTGTGAATTCGGTGTCCCAGCCGGCTGCCCACTGTCCGGGGCCCCAAGGGGGAAGCAGCCTGGGGTGGGCGGAGGGTGGAGGCCTGCTCCTGGACTCCCGTCCAAAGGTGGGTGACATTGGAGTCCACCTCGGAGCCTGCCCGGGCATTTCGAGGGGGCCTGGGGAGTGGTGGCTTGTGTGGCTGGGGACGGAGAGGACAGGAGCGAGCCTGGGTCATGCCCTCCATCTCTGTGCCTACAGGAGGCCTCAGCGGGGCAACTATCATCGACTCCCTCGACACCCTCTACCTCATGGAGCTGCAGGAGGAGTTCCAGGAGGCCAAGGCTTGGGTTGAAGAGAACTTCCACCTGAACGTGGTGAGTCAGGCACCTTTGGGGCATTAGGGCCGAAAGGGGTCCGGAAGGTCCACCGTGTCACTTCTGAGATGCTGGGGCTCTGCGCCCTCTCTGTCGAGTCCCCTCTCCTCAGACCAGCCTCAAGGTGGGCTTGAGCCCTGGCCGGCCCATGAGTATTTACCAGCCTGTTCTCCCCTGGGAGGGAAGACAGCCAGCGACCCTTCCTTCCCCTCCCCGGGGTGGCAGGCACCCAGGAAGTCCCTTCTGGGGTTGAATCTGTCACACAGAAGGGCAGCAACAGGCCGGGAGCAGTGGTGTATCTGCTCTGAGCTGCTCTAACCTGGAGCCCCCGCCCCGCCCCATGCTGCCCTCTAGAGATGAGCGACAGGCCGAGGAGCCGTCGGGATGACGGTAACAATGGCAATGCCTAGTTCACCAGCATTAGAACACTGTCAAGTCTGAAACGGATGTAGGCGTAGGGGGTGTCCTCCTCCTCCTCCTCCTCATTACGGCTATTTTGAGGCGTGTTATGCCTTCTGGTGGTCTGTGTGAGGTTAGAATCCTCCCATTTCCTACTGTATTGAACGGGAGAAAGGCCGAAGTGGGAGAAGGAAGGGGTATCATCCAAGGCCCACCTTGTCCCTGTGCAGATAGTGGATAGAGAGTGGGCCTCAGGCAGCTGCCTACGGTGCCAAGTACCGGCAATCCGGGGAGCCTGGGGGATATTCACATAGGCTGGTGCAGGTTAGGGAGGGTCCTTGGAAGAGAGCAAGATGGGGGTCATATCCCCTCTCTGAGCCTTGGCTTCCTCGTCTGGAAAATGGGAATGAAGACCTCGCCACGCCCTGTAAGGCTAAAAGAGAGAATGACTTCGCAAGTGCTCTGTCAGTGGAAAAGCTCCCAGATAAAGGGATGCTCATCGTCATTGTCAGCAGGAAAGGACAGTGATATGAGGAGTGCTGGGGTGCAGGGAGGGTGATAGCAGACCCCTTTAGGGAGCCACACCGGGCACTGGGCATGTGCCGGGCGGGCATCTCACCTGTGCCACACAGCACCGCATTGCCGCCCCGCTCAGGGTGAAGAACCTTGGCCAGAGAAAAGCTAAATACCTTGCCCAAAGTCCCAAAGCCAAGTAAGGAGCTGAGGTGGGATTTTAACTGAGATCTGGTCCTTGGCATGGTGCCCCGACACCAGTCCAGACCTCAGAAAGAAGATCATTGAAGCAAGTGTGGACATGCTCTGAGGGCCAAAGAGCTAAGGCTGAGAATTGTCAATCACCTACAAGAACCTTCCTGGCACCCCCTCCTCTCAGCCCTGGCTTTGTCCTGTTTGCCCCAAAACCTCTTTGGAAACCCCTCCCAACCCTGCCCCGCCCCACCCTGCCACCCCAAGGAGCCGCTGCTGCCCTTCCCTCCTGCTAAACTGGGGAGCTCCCTCAGGAAGGGGAGGTGGCTGGATTAGAGAATCTGCCTCCCCTCGGGCTAGTCTTCAGACAGCAGCTCCCTACCAAGTTCTCCGGCTCCTTGGAGAGCAGCCAGGCATAACTTTGCTCCGACAGCCTCGGGCAAGGGCTGGGGAAGGAAGCCAAACCTGGTGTTTATTTGTAATGCTGTTAACGTGCTCTGTGGCCTGCCAAGCAGGTGTTGATCCCTCTCAACTTCTGCTCCGGAAACCACCACCCAGCGTAGCCTGGCCTGCTGGGCGAGGAGGCCCCGGAGCCCAGCACAAGTATGGCCAGATCATCAGGGTGGGGGGTTGGGGAGGCTGTGGCCAGAGTGACCTGGCTGTCCCTGGGAGCCCTCCAGGCATCTCACAAGTGTCCCCCACCCCACCCCCTGCCCACCCCTTTCTCTGCTGCCCTGCAGAGTGGAGAAGCATCCTTGTTTGAGGTGAACATCCGGTACATCGGGGGACTCCTCTCAGCCTTCTACCTGACGGGAGAAGAGGTGAGTTGGGCCTTCAAGGACCCTGGATCCTTCAGGTGGGAAAAGGCTTGAGAGAACATCCAATCCCGCTCCCTCATTTCACCAGTGAGGAAACAGGGATTCGGGGGGACTTGCCTGGGGCTGTCCCTGTCCGCCCAGCCTCCACGGTGCCACCTGCAGGCCTTCTGTCCAATGCTTCCATTCCCTTGCCCGAGGGTGCCCCGCTGGCTCCCAGGGTTGCTAGTAAATTCTCCAAGGGCAGAGACTAGTCTACTCACACTGTCCCTGCAGCTCCTAGCACAGCATCCGCCGTCTGGACTCAGCACGGGCTTGTGCTGCTGGACTGGCTTGTGCAGGGCTGATTTTCGGCACTGATAAAGCCAAGGCCATTGTTTCAGCACTTCCACCCCTGGGACCCCTCAGCCTTATCCTGCTCCACAGCCACCCCTCGGCTCCCCTCCTGGGTGCCAGCCACCGGCCAGAGGCCAGCACCAGGTCTCAAGGGGCAACAGGGACATGGGGCAGCCACTGGGGCTGGTCACATGTCCCAAGTGCAAGGCCTTGGCCCCAGGCAAGCTGTGTTGGCTTCCAGAGGGAGGGCTGTGCAGTGTGGGGAGAAGACAGAGCCCTGGGCATGCAGGGAGTCAGAAAACCTGGGACTCGTCCCCACACACCTGCCTGTGATCTTGAGCAATTCCTCCCCCACCCCTGAACCTCGCTTCCTTCCCCACCATGGGAATGGGCTCACAGAGCTCTTGTGAGATGGGTCAGGAGGGATAGGGGTTGACCCCGAGCTGACCGGCTCCAAAGCCCATATTCTCCATGCTGCAAGAGAATCTTGAAAACCACAGAGCTCTGTAGAAATAGGAGACTCCTCCCCCCCTCAAGAAGTCCCATGAAAGTGCAGCCCGAGTATCTGGGGGTGAGGTTGGCCAAGTCCCCAGCCGTGGGTCATCGGTCAGTTGTGTTCCTCATTACCCAGAGGGGTCATGCTGCTCAGCACAGCCGCTGCTCTGGAGTCGGATGCTTTGGCTTTGGCCCTTTCCCTTCCCTACACTTCTCCCTGTCCCAGTTCTGTCCATCCTGGGATAGCATCATCCCTGCCCCCGCCACAGCGAGGGGTGGGGGGGGCCACAGAAAATCCATGCTAACCTCAGTGGGGTTGTCTAAGGAAGTCCTTTCCGCTTCGCTCCCATTTAAGGCAGTAGCTACAGTCAAGAGTTTGGAGATAACAGGTGCACACTACCTCCCGTCACTTCAGGCCTCTCCGTCAAGCCTGATCTCCTCAGCAGAGATTACCACTTGCACCAATTTGTTTCCAAATCAGTGTAGGTGGGATCCCTTGGCTTTGAGCCACATGAAACGTGAATGTCATTTGAAAACCCTAGGACCGGAAAATGACATGGAACAGAAAAAGCACCATGTTCTTCCAGGCACTTGCCCAGCCTCCCAGCCACTCATGGCTGTGGAAGGTGCCATTGCATATGGGGACAGGGGAGGGAGCCATGTGGCTCAGGGCTCAGAGGGGTCAGCGATTGAGGGAGGTGCTGGTGCCCCTCAGTCCTGATGCTTGACTCACTGTCTTGCCCTCCTCATAGGATATCTTGACTCTGAGAACCTCTCTGAGGCCTTGGCTCCTTAGTGATGTAGGCTGGCTGGGTCTGAGGACCCAGAGGAGGGGAGGTCACCCAGGACCAGCCAAGAGGGCCCTTGGCTTCATGCAGGATAGAAATCAAACACAAGCCAAGAGGAAGTGAGAGCAGTTTATTGAGACCTAGGGTGAGTACAGGTACAGACAGAGCATCTGGGAGACTTGGGAAGGAAAAGGAGTCTTGTCTTTGCTTGGGGCCTGGGGTTTTTACCGAGGATTGGGGTCTGATGTACATGCCCCCTCAGGCATCCGGGGACTGGTCAGAACAAGGACAAGGTGTCCTCCATAAGTCACTTATTCCTTGGGGTCAGGGGGTCTTGGCATCGAGATGTCTAGAGTCAGTGTCTGGAATATGCACAGGACAGCGTCACCCGGTCATTCTTGCCTGGTCGTTCCTTTGATGCTATCTATTGTGCTGGAAGACTTCAAAGAAATCGTTAACTCCCTGATCCTTACAAGGAGGGGCTACATTATTTGTACTATGAGGCATGTGTAAGGCAGGGATGCAGGTCTGAGCAAAAAGAGAGGCAGGAAAAGGACCATAAAAAGCAGTCCTTCATGGCGTTGCCTCAGTTTCCCCATCTCACTGTAAGGATCATCAGTCTGACTCCCCGGGATGCAGACACTGGGGTGTGGACAGGAGTGCCTGTGACTTAGAAACAGTTCACAAAGCCCAGGGAGCCCCGTGTGGCTCAGAATCCCTGAGCAGACAGACTCCTGAGGTTATGGGCACCGCCCCTGTCCTCCAGCCGTGCCCTGCTGATCCCTCTCTGTCCCCAGAGACTGTGCCACAGGAGCCCGGTCTCACTGGTCCCCAAACACCCCATGAGGTGTGGGTCTTCGCCTATTTGCAGACATGGGAACTAAGACTTAAAAGGAGCTTGCTCAGGTCGCCATCCCCGAGGGCTGTGCTGGGTCAGCTCATGACCCCATGGCCTTTCGGCCATAGGCCTGAGTGGTAGCCCCCATGGAGCCTGGCCCAGTGTCACTGCTTGTCACCAGGGCTCAGACACACTGGACTGAGGCCTCCCTCCTCTCTGTCCTCAGTCTCGCACACAGGGTTCCTGTGAAGTGGGTCTTTCCAGCCTTCATATTTCCCAGGAGTACTTGTGGAAGGGGGCCAGAAACCCCAGCCCCATCCTGGGCTGAGGCCTTCCTTTGCTGCCGAGGAGACCTAGGAGAGGAGAGTCCCCTGGTGGGGGGACTACAAGACCCCCAGGAGAATAGCCAGCGTGCGGACAACCACTCCGGGGGATGTGTGCACGGCTCTTTAAGTTCACAGGCACATTCACTTACATACATCCTCGCGTTTGAGTTCTGGACGAGCCCTGTGACAGCCAGGGCACACGTACAGTTAGTTCCATTGCACAACGAGGCTCAGAGATGGTACATGGCTCACCTAAGGTCACACAGCTGCTAATGGGAAGATCAGAACCCGGGCTCTCACTCCCAGCCCAGAGGCCTTTCCCTCTACAGAATGTAATTCTTGCTGGCTTCTCCCCGCTCTGTTCTAGAACCTCTGGCCCCCTGCCTGTCGCTTACCTTGGCTGTCTGCAGCCATACAGGTCTGTGTTCTCTCTCTGTGTTGAAGAGGCAGTTTGGTATCACTTAGTAGCTCCACAACCTTGGGCAAATTGCTTCTCTGAGACTCAGTTTTGTCATCCTCCAAGAGGTCGACTTCTTCCCCACAAGGCTGTTGCAAGGGTTGAAGGTCAAGGAGAGGAGACACCTAGCACAGTAATGTGCTGTGATTTATAATAAGTAATATATGTATCTGGTCTGCATCCCGTTGCTGGCGGAGCTCCTAAAAGTGTTGGACTTTCCTAAGGGATGAGAGCAATAAATGTGTCTTTTGTTATGTTAATTGGGTGACTTTTGGTCCCCACCTAAGGATAGAGGCTGGTTCCCAGGAAAACCCTGTACTTAGAGGGTAGTTATTTTCAGTCCCACTGTCCTGACTCCCAGGGATGGGAGAGGCGCTGGGTGCCAAATTGATAGGCGGTTAGCAGTGGTTTAATGGGTCCTGCCCACGTGATGGAGCCTCCATAAAACCCCAAAAGGATTGGATCACAGAGCTTCGGGTTGGCTGAGCACCAGGAGATCTGGGGAGAGCACCTCAGCTGGAGAAAGCATGAAAGCTCCACCCCTTAACTCCATGCGTTTCTTCCATCTGACTCTTCCTGACTTTCTAGTCTTTTCTCATAAACCCATAATCCAGTAAGTACAATGTTTCCTGAGCTCTGTGAACTACTCTAGCAAATTGCTCAAGCCCACAGAGGGGTTTGTGAGAACGTCCGACTTAACAGCCCGTTGGTGAGAAGCACAGGTAAGATCTACACAGGCGACAGTGTCTGAAGTGGGGGTGGGGCAGTCTCGTAGGACCGAATCCTCAGACTGTGGAATCTGGTGCGAAATCCAGGAAGGGAGTATCAGAACGGAGTTGAATTCTAGGGCACCCAGCTGGTGTCTGCGAATTGCTTGGTGGTGTCAAGAGACTAACACACACACACACACACACACACACACACACACACACGGTGGAATTGGGTTCAGAATCTGTTACACACCTGCTCACTTCCCACAGAATAAGTACGACTAGTATCCTTCTGTTCCCAGTAGTGCCATTCTGGTCCACACACGCTCACCCCGCATCCTCCCTGCTGTGGCTGAGACCCTGCAGCGCCCACCAGCAGTAGATCCTTCCCGAGGTGGAGACATGGAGATTCCTAAGAGCATTTGAGAAGATATAGCTTAGGAGCCCTCAGGGCAGAGGACAGCCAGTCAGCTGCCTGGAGCCTCGGCCTGGGGTTCAGGTTCCACAGGGTTCCTCTGCGCCTCAGTGCACAGTCTCCCGGGGGTCAGGTGATGACGTCAGGGGCCTCAGATGAGAGCCCTTTGTTGTTGCTGTGGTGTGGCTGGCCCCTGTGCCCACTTCTGGGACCCACCGTCTGGCACTAGACACTATCCCCTTCCGTCCCCGTCACTGCCAGGCCCCAGGTGCAGCTCTTTCCTTCCAGCAACAACCACACCAGCCCCCGGAGGCCTCTCTGCCCCATCCTAGCCGGCTCCCGGGCCCGCAAACCCTGCCACGGCCATCCCATGGCTGCCTCAGCCCCCACGTCGTGCGTATGGGGGTCGGGAACTCAGGACGACTTTGTTTTGCAGCCCTCAGGAGGTCAGCAGACTGGGTCACCCGCCAGCTCCGGAAACGAAAGGAAACATGTGTTATATCACCCGGAACCGTCACATTTAAAAAAATAAATACTATTTACTGTGGACTTATTTTTGTTATGAAAAAAAAGCCCAGAAATAGAAGCCAAATGAAGAAAGCAAAAGTCCTCCACGAGCCTGCCCCTGACTCCTAGGAGACATTGTTAATATTTTGGTGTATTTCCTTCCCAACCTTTCCTCACACGTCTGTGTGCGTGTGATTTTTACTAAAACGTGAATTACGCGGTTTCAAAGTATATTTTTCTTTTAACAAACTAGAAGCCCTTTTTTTTGCCATTAATTAATCTCGTACCTCATGCCAGTGGCTGCATGGTGTTCTAGTGCATGAAGAAGTCATAATTTAACCACTTCCCTACTGTTTGATAGAATATTTTCATGTTTCCCACTACTATAAATACCAGAATAAATAGGCATAAAGTTACATCTTTACAACATCCTTGATTACGTATTTACTTAGAATAAATTCCTAAGAGGGAAACTGGTGTCAGAAAGTCACAGATGCTTTTGAATTAGTCAGAAGAACAGTCAGAAGGGGTCAGAGCCTCCAGCAGGGGCCCTGAGGCCTGGGACCCCCTTTATGGCTCCTTTGCCATCATATCAGTAGTTTAGCCATTCACCTTCTCCATTCATTCCCATCTGTAAAATGGGAACAGTGGACAGATTCAGAATGTCAAGGAGGAAAGGGTCCACCCCTGGGGGACGGCCGTGCTTTGCTGGGAAGTACACAGCAGCCAAACTGTGAGGCAAGGATTGAACCCAGGGTGGGGCAGGACTCCTAGTCAAGTGCTCCTCACACCCTGCCCAAATATACTTCCCCCGCGCCCAGCCTGTGGCATACCTGGTGACCTGGTGACGGCGGCCCTGGCTACTTCACCCTCCCAGTGGCCGCCCCGAGCACAGCTAGAATCACTGAGCCTTCATCAGAGTCCCGACACTGCCTCGAGGGCTTTACAGCTATTACCTAATTTTCATTCTTCCCAGCAGCCTCTGAGGAAGGCAGTATGGCCTTGTTTTATGAGTGAGGAAGGAAATTGAGGCTCAGAGAGAGAGGTGCCTCAACTAAGGCCACGTCACCAGGAACTCGAGGAGCTGGGTTCACATCCAAGCCTGCCTGACTCCAGAGCCCGACGCAGCACCGCCTCCCACTCGGGGCCAGCAGCTCCTGGGTTCATCCACGGGGGAGGGTGGGGGAGCTTCCCGAATTGATGGCGCCCACACGGCCCCATTCACGAAGCCCCATGCCTCTCCCTTTATAGGTGTTCCGGATCAAGGCCATCAAGCTGGGAGAGAAACTGCTGCCCGCCTTCAACACCCCCACGGGGATCCCCAAAGGTGTTGTGAACTTCAAAAGGTAGGTCACCTTCTGGTTTCCTTCTTGTGGCTTTGGCTGCTTCTGTGTGGAAACTGAGGCACAGGGAGAGAACAGCACCCGCCGTGGGAATGACCGTGAGCCAGTGGCTCTCCAGGGCCAATGTTTGTCACCAAACCTGGGTCTTAGGATTCATAAGGCCTGATCTTCCCAAGGTGGGGAGGGGACAGCTGTTCTGTGATCGTCCCCCAACACTGCCTTGACTCACAGCTCTACAGGTGTATCCCATTCACCTCCCTCCCCAGCGAGGGCCAGGGGCCAGTAGGCACATCACATCCTCCTGCCATGAGGAGGCACCGCAAAGTGCTAGAGGGCTTGAGACTCTAAGAAGAGGGACCCCTGTGGTCTGCCAACCCCCACCCTTGGCCCCCAGCAGGGCTGGGTCTCAGGAACCTAGTGTCAGAACCCAGAAAGGCTCCTGGGGGGATGTCAAGGTCATGGAAGCTCAGACTCCAGGGATTAAAGGCCATGGCCAAGGTCACATAAGCCAGTAACTGACCATTCCAGGACTTCCAACTCCATTTTTAATCATTCTTATCAAAATGGAATTTCCCTCTCTTTAAAAATGATAAGTGCTCGTTGCAGAAAATGTGGATTACACCAATAGTGTTCGATAAGACCAGAAAACTCCCGTGTGGTTCCGCTAATCAAAGAAACCACTGGGAATACTTCGTTCTACTGGCTCCGTAATTAAAATGTTGATTCTTACTGGCTCCTTCCGTGATTTTCCTTCCTGATATGTTGCTTAGTTCAGTGTGTGAACTAGACTTTCTGGGTAGTCACTAAGTCACAGGATGCCAGAGCGAAGGGGACCTTGGGTGATATACTTAGAAAGAGTAGAGCAGGGGTCTGCAGTTGGGTCCAGCTCCACAGCCTGTGGCTACCTGTCCCCACCTCCGCCTGCGCTGCTACCCTTCCCTCTCATGGGGACGGGAGTGTGTTTATATCCACTCACTTCCCAGGTGTGGCAGCTGAGACCCAGAGAGGGGAAAGGACGGGGTCAGAGTCAGGAGAACCAGTGGCCAGCCAGCTTCATGATCTGTGAATCATTACAAGCATGAGTCTAGCTCCTGGGGACCCCCAGTGTGCCCCATTGTCCTGCCTTCGCTCACTCTGTCCCTCTACCAGTTGCCCTCCTTTCCCAGCTCCCCTGCCCAGCAGAGCCTGGCTGATATGCCACCTTTGCCACTAAGGCAGAAGCGTCCCAGCCTCTCCTGGCCTCCGGGCACTCCGTCTGCTTCCTTACGGCCTCGTTCAGGTGCCTCTTCCTGTTCCCTGCTGGCCTGGGGACTTCTCGAAGGCAGGGACATGCCCAACTCTTAGCCCATTCCTTCAGCAAATATCTGTGCGAGGTACTATGTGCAGGATAAAAGGTCAATGGCACAGCTCCTACCACTTATTGGGCAATTCTGTGTACCTGGCCTTGTGCTCAGGGTCTCCGTACATCGCCTCACCAAAGTACCCCTCACAGCACCCCTCTGAGGGCAGATATTTATATTATCCCCATTATTCACACAGTCTCAGAAGAGAAAATAACTCACCCAAAGTCTTACAGCTAATAGGTAATTGGGGCTAAGATTTAAACCCATTTTGTTACAGATTGAAAACTCTGTTCTGTACACCTGCCTGACCCTCCCACAGACTGGACCCTGCTTCCCCCCCCCTCCCTCCCCCGTGCAGACCCCTGGGAGACGTAGTAGGAGGCACCCGGGAGCTCCCTGGGCCATTCGCAAGGTTCTCCAAGAACCCTGAGTCCACCTCACCAGACTTCCCTGAAGTGAGGTCTTTTTTGTTTTAACTCAAAGATTTTTTTTTAAGCTTATTTATTTATTTTGAGAGAGAGTATGAGAGAGAGAGCAGGGGAGGGGCAGAGAGAGAGAGAGAGAGAAAGAGAGAGAATCCCAAGCAGGCTCTATGCCATCAGCATGGAGCCCGATGTGGGGCTCCAACTCATGAACCCTGAGATCACAACCTGAGCTGAAAACAAGAGTCAGGCAGTTAACCAACTGAGCCTCAGGGGCCCTGAAGTGATGTCTTACCTCAGGACTGTCAGTCCAGCAGTGGCCCCAGCCAGCTGCCTGGGGGGGAAGGACAGTGCCCCCCAGGAGGCCGGGGCACAGGGCTCTGGTCGAATGTGGGCTTCCTCTCTGTCCTGGGGAGGTCCCGCTCTTCTGGTCGCCCTGCCTTGGGCCTCGCAGAAGAGAGGGGACTTGCCTCCTCCATCTCTTTGCTTACTGCCTGATCGGAAAGCATTCCTGGGCTGTGACATCACATAAATCTCACCAGAGGCCACAGAGGGGCCATCAGCGCCAGTCGAATCCTGTCCTCAGTGCCGGGGTTGATGTCTCAGAGTCGGACACTTGGAGTTTTGCTCGGATTCCTTTCCCACAAACACTGATCCTGGAGAAACACAGCCAGCTGTCACGGAGAAGACACCAACATGGCATCTTTGCGGCTCTCTCTCCCAGGGCTAGCGCCTGGGCCTCGCTGCCGGGGTCTGGGATCTGACCTCAGCTCAGCCGTCCTTCCCTCCTCTGCGCCTGGTGCTGCCCGCCGCCCCCCAGCCCTGCAGCCACAGCCCTGCAGGCCTCACCCCTGTCCTTCAGAGCTGGGACCGGATGCAACACAGATCCTAACAGTTCTGATTAAGAAAATGCATTTATTTTTAGGCTATTATTTGCATGCTGCCAGTGCCATATACATATGTATGTATATGCATATTTCCTGGCAACACCTCCCTTTCATTTTCTGGGTAAAAGAGTCTGTTGCTAAAACTGCATCCCCGTTCCATCCCGGGGGAACGTCAGGGATGAGTATGGCCGGACCCGCGTGGCGCTGAGTTTGCTCTTTGGAGAGGGCCGGCTGGTGGGAGCTGGGGCACACGCTGCTGTCCCTGCCCCGGGCAGGGCTCACTGTGGACAGCTCCGAGAGAAAGAGCCAGACGGGGCCCCAGCAGGAGGGGTACATAATGAGGCCCTGCTGCCAGGTGAGCGTGACTGCTCTTCCTGCTTGGGAGGCAGAGGCAGGGACAGCTGTGACCTGTGACCCTCGGGCACCACTGAACTATCTGAGTGGCACTGGCCAGTGCAGGGACTAATCTCTCTGACACACTCGACTGCTGCCCACCCAAGTCACACAGGCAGAGATACACGGGCCCGGCTGTGTCACAGTCTCTTGCATCCGTACCCTCACTCGCAAATACGCACTTGTATATGCACGCTCCTGCCACACACATACATACACACCTTAATAGGTGCTGATGTTTAGCGAGCATTCACTGTGTGCCACACGGGATGTGAACACATATGATTCTCTCTTTTCAATGGGCCCCGTTTCACCAGTGACGAAACTGAGGCTGAGAGAGGTGAGGTAACGTACCCAAGGTCACACAGCAATAGAGGTAAGTTAGAATCCACGTCTGCCTGGCTCCAAGTTAACAACTATATCAGACACATGAGCGCACACATACATACACTGGAGCTTCTGCCATGCTGGGGAGGGGCAGCCCCTTCCACCAGCAGAGAAACCACAGGCTGCAGGCACACTTGCAGGCTTCAGAGGTCGGGAGGAGGGCAGAGGGCAGAGCTCCCATTAGCCCATTGCCTCACGGGGCTGAGCAAAACACCTCCTGGCCTCTGGATGCTGCCCCTGAGCACAGGCATTTGGGGCACACAGTAACTAAGATTCGGATTCACCTCCACCAATTCTGTCACTTACTCTGACCTTGGAGAAGTGTCTCCCCCTCTCTGAGTCTGAAATAAGAATCGTGGGATCTACCTCTGAAGTTGGCTGTAAGGATAAAACAAGATGCTACCGCTGCCTGGCACCCATCAGGAACTCAGGAACTCAAACGAGCAATAATTTTAATAAACTATAAACACATAATTTATATGTGCATAATTACATAATGTTAAAAATGATAGTAATTACCTGCCTGATTTGTAACTCACAATAACTCTATGAGGTGTGGGTACTGTCATTTAACAGATGAGGAAACAGGTTAGAGAGATCAACTGACCTGCCCGGAGTCCCGGGGCAGTGGGAGCCAGTGTGGAAGGCAGGCAGGGGAGAGGGGAGGCAGACGCCCACTGCCCCCCTCTGACCAGAGCCAGTGTGCCTGTCTGCCAAGCTGGTTCCGCTGCAGGAAGCCCACTTGGGAGGGTAATTGTTGGGAGGGAGGGGAAAGGAAGGAGAGGCTCATGTGCAGGAAAATGAGAACAAAAGGCAGCTGGGTGACTGGTGGCTTTTTTGACCTTGAATTTCTCTGCCAGGGCAGGAAGCATCCATTATTCAAGAAACCCTCTGTGGGTACCCACGGCTCCCACTGAGAAAGCCAGAAGGAGAGGTCTCACTTGGCCTGGAGGGAAGAGGGACAGAGAGGGGACACTTTCCCCTTCCCTCCGGGTCGATGTGGGGCCATCTGGGTGGGAGACTGTTAGGCGATGTGCAGAGCCCAGTCTGAATCCGGCCTCCACCACCTACCAGCTCCAACCTTCCAGTAACTTCTTCCCTCTCCGAGCCTCAGTTTCCTCTTTGCATATTGGGATTAATGTTACTTTACCTTGTGGGCTTTAAATGAAGTCAAGATGCAAACAGCTTGACCCAGTGCCTGGTATCTTTAGTGGCTCAATAAACAGAAGCTGTTTTATTTATCATGTGGGAGCCAAGTCTCCCATCTCCATGCAACCGGTCTCTCTCTACCTGCCCCCTGCCCCCAAGTCAGGGAAGTACCAAGGAGAGGGAGACAGGAAAAAGGGGCCAGTGGTCGTCTCTGTTTATTGAGGCCACCTGCTCCATAAGATCCTAAAACTGGAGTCCTCCATCTGTTTCTGGAAGTTGAGCTTGACTTCAGAAACTATCCAGGCCCGATAATGGAGCTTAGAGAGGAGAGGGGCCGCCTCAGAAGAGCCCCAGCCCACCCCAGGAAAAGGAATGCCCCTCAGATGGCAAACCGTGACCTCCTAAACCCCTCCTCCCATGCCTGCCTTCCTAGGTCCTGTCCTGGGGAGACAGACAGACAGAGGCCAGTTCCGCAGGGAGGTAGAGCCATCCCAGCTAGGAAGCAGAGGGGCTTCCTAGAGGCCAGGGCAGAGCCAGCCCCCTCAGCCTGCACCTTGGAGGCCCTACAAAGTGAGTGGGGCACTCACTCCACCCTGCTCTGTCCCACAGGAAAGATCATCATGATACATATGAGGAAACTGAGGCACAGGGAGAAGCAGCAGCTTGCCCAAGACCACCCCTGTCTGCACTTTTCTCCTCCCTCTTCATCCCACAAAAGACCTAGGAATAGAGACCAGGACCAAATACTCTTGCTCAGTTTGATGGTGCAAGAACTAAGGTGTATAAGGCGGGGATGGTTTGCCCATCGCCTCTCAGCTACAGGTACCAGGGAGATTTACGTGAAGGCACCTTTCCAGGCAGCATATAATTAAAAGAGAGGCAGCCCACATGATGGTTAGAACGAGCGCTGTCTTCAGGCCAGCCTTGGGTCCCAGGCGCTCCACCCAACTGTGATCGAGAGTGAGCGACATCACCATCCCAGACCTTGTTGTCCTCATCTGGGAAAGGGGCAGATGGGAGTAAGGTTACCGGAGACTCTGCACCATTCCTCCTTAGAAGCACCCAGTACCTGCAAGTGGTTAGTTGCCGGCCTTCTCCAGCGAGGCCACGGGGCCACTCTAGGATCTAAGGTGTCCCTGAGACACGCATGACCGACTTTGCTCCGAGGGCCCCTGTTTCTTTCATTCCTACCCTCGGGCCTTCTCAGGGTCCAGTAGCTCCAGGCGTGTGGGCACTCCGGGGACACCGGCCTGTCGGTATGGGTTCCACAAGATTCCAGGCAAGAGCCGTTGTGTGCCCTTGGGCAGCACTGACAGTGTGTGGGGAGAGAAGGGGCCGCGAGGGGTCCAATCCCAGCCATGGCAGTTTACCCTCCACGGCCACCACCACCGACTGTGAAGCGGCTGGCTTGCCTTCAGCCAGGGGACAGAAAGTGTTCTGTGTGGTCTCTGTGGTCGATCTCACCTGTAAACTTAGCGTGGCTTGGGGGCCAGGCCTTGGCCATCGAGGCAGCCCTGCTGCCGTCCTTGGGCCTACAGGCCTCACAGGGGCTGCTTGACAACAGAAACAAAGAGGCGTGCATACAGACAGGCCCGGCCTCAACTCACCTGCAGCAAGTCAGTTCACTGACCTCAGTATCCACATCCACAAAATGGGGCTATTGACAATACTCACCCCTGGGGAGGAGCACCCGAGATCAGATGGCCTGGCACCAGCGGGCCATCCCCCCGCAAGCAGTCCCTGTCACTCTCAGCAGGGGAGCCAGCCCACAGACAGGGGCCTGACCGGCGCTTCTGTGTTTTCACAGCAGCTCCATCAGGAGCTGGGGCTGGGCCATGGCAGGCAGCAGCAGCGTCCTGGCGGAGTTCGGGTCCCTGCACTTGGAGTTCCTGCACCTCACCGAGCTCTCTGGCAACCAGGTGTTCGCAGAAAAGGCAAGTCTTCTCCCAGCTCCTCCCTGTGCTCCACACCGGGAGCACCCCAGGAAAGTGGGTCCACCTTGACCAGGGTGGCCAGTGGGGACCTGGAAGGCCTTCCACCACCGCTAAGACAGCCCACGGCTGCTCGTGGAAGCCACGAGTGTGCCCGAAGCCAGGTGACACGGAAGGCGGGCTCAGGGGAGGAATCAGGGCCCTGCTGGGGCAGGGAGGAGGTGAGGCTGCCGGCAAGGTTTTCACTGGTGCCGTCAGATCCAGAGAGAGTGCGGCAATGGGAATCCAGGCACCAGCTCGCCTGGGCAGGAGTCGGCCACCGGGTGCAAAAGTCCCCTTTCCAAAGACAGTTAACTTCCTCCTGTGAGATCTGCCTGCCTCTTCCTTGCAGATGCCCGCCTGGCCCGTGTTGTCAGCAGGCTGGCAGTGCTGCTGCCTGGGCAGCAGGGGCACACGTCTGTCCTCTCTCACTGTTGCCCGGCTGGCTGAGGCCACAGCAGGTGCTGAGAGCTGGCACCCAGGCTGTCATCCAGCCTGGCAGCTGTCACTCCTGCCCCTCTGTGAAGCCCTCGGGAAGAAGCGGGTCCTTCGCCTTACAGCCCTTGGCAGTCCCACCGCCTGCGAGTGTCTCTGCGGGTGTAACCCCAAACCCGAGGAGGGGAGGTGTACACATGCCCCCCTCAGATGGCACCCAGGCTCCATCGGGAGATGTCCCTTTCTGAGTCCTGCCCTGAGAATGAGGTCCCGCCTCCAAGGAGAACCCTGTGGGCCCCCCTCACCCCCGCTCCCAAAGCCTTCCCTGCTCTGAATGTTGGCCTCTTGGAGTTCCAGGAGTGCAGGGAGAGCACAGACTCCCGCCCCCACCTGCTGGCTCCCAGTGTCGGGTCTGCCACCCGGCCTCAGAGCATCACCCTGCGCTCCCATGAGGAAACACAGGATTCCGCCAGGCCCGGGAATCTGCGTTTTAATAAGCACCCGTGTGCTTCTTGATGCCAGGGTTAGGGGAACTGCTTATTCAGTGTGGGAACCCCTCTGAGCATTCCTGGGAAGCACAAGAATCCCTTGATCACTTCCTGTGTTGGGGCTCACTACCCCGTCCCCCTCAAATGGCCTGTCATGTCAGTCCTGCACTTCAGAAGCTTTCCCTTGAACTGGGAGGTCTCTGCCTCAGAAGTTTTCCCTTGTATTGGGAGGACTCTGCCACCCCGGGACACCCCACCTTGAAAGTTCATGGACCCTAATGGGTTTTATTTTCTGATCCTTTTTTCCTACCTCCAAGCCCTCCCTCCCCTACCCTCCATGTATCTTTTGCTATTGACCCAAACTCCCCCGGGGAAGGTTGTGACTGGCTCACGATGGAAAGGGACAGGGGGCTCACTCTACCCTGGCTAGTCTGGACACACTAGCTACCACTGCCTGAGCACCTACTATGTGTTGGGTACCTTATATCTCTAATCGCCCCTCCAAACCCTGAGGTGGGTCCTCTTGCTGTCCCCATTTTATAGAGGAAGAAACTGAGACTCCGGGGTTAAGTCACTTATCCTGGGCCATCCAGCCGGTAAGTGATAAAGCCAGGATTCAAGCTCAGGACTTCCTGGTTCTGAAGCCCACGTTCTTTCAAGACCAGATTAGTATAGCTTCAGGCTTTCCCCCTCGAGTCCATCTGCCTGTCTCTCAGTCTCTCTCTACATTTACATTCACTGGCTATTTTCATCCCCCAATCATGCCTCCCACAGAGGCAATTATTGGCAGTCAACAAATTGGCCCAAATTCTAGAAGCACCCGCGCCCTCCAGGGGAGCCAATTTAGCCTGCTTCACTGCTCACCACCAGGACAGGCGAGAATAACTCAGGTACAAGCACATTCCTGTCCCCCGTAATGGACTCCGTTAACATAAATGGATACGGAATCTCATGTGGTAAAGCGAAGTGCTGTCCCCGGGAAACAAAGGTCTGACAGCTAAAAGGCTGCTCTCCCTGCCCCTCGTCTTGGAGATAAATCTGTGAGCAGGATAGAGTATGTCCCCGGGGGGCGTTTCTGTTCCACGGGATTCTGTGCTAGAAGGATCTCGTGTACTGTCGGAGAGCGGACCCCAGGGCATGAAGCCTTCCCGCTTCTTGCCCTTTGGAGCAGCAAAGCTTGCAGGTCTAGCCTTCTCTTGCTCCAGCTGCGGGGGGCCTCTGCTACACGTGCTGTGCGGGGCCTGCCCCGACCCGTGTTGGATGCAGGGGCCGCTCTGTGTGCTCAGCCAAGACCTGTCTCATGTCCTGGCCCTTTCACTTTGTGAAGTGAGCGACCACGGGCAAGTCACCGAAACTCTTGAGGTTCAGGCATGTCCTGAGGTAACAACGCGGGTTATTCTAAGGGTTGGAGGTGAGGTATTTGCACTGGGGCCTGGCTCAGAAGAACTGAGGAATGTTAACAGCTGTGGTGGCGGCGGTGGTGGTGGTTAAAACCCTGAGATGCCTCTGTGGGCAAGGGGGTGCTGAGGGGCCCAGGCCTTTCCTCTGGACTGGTTCCCGTGGTGGCAGAGAAAATAACATAGTGTTGGGCTGAACCACATGAAAGAGCCGGCGCCTGACCATTCCAGAACTATGAAAAAGGCAGTTTTAACTTACAAATGAGTCACTATCACTTATGTGAACCCCCCCGCTGCCGAAAAGGCCCATCCCCCAAAGCGATGCACAGTGAGGAAGGGGTGAAGCGAGGGGGGTGTGGGGGCCTGGCAGAGCCCCAGGCAGAGTGTCAGTGCAGAGGCGGTGGATAGGCCCCACGATGGCCGTGTCCTGTGTGCCCCGTCTTGCCACCTTCGGGCTGGGGCCTGCCGTTGGTCACAAAGCTCTCCCTCCTGCCTCCCCGGAGTGGTTTCCTGTGTGGATCCAAACAAACTGCCTCTGCTCATTGGCTAAAAGTCACTGGCTCCTTCCAGAAAGTGAAGGTGCGTCTGGTGTCCATTTCTTGGCAGGTCAGGAACATCCGAAAGGTCCTCAGGAAGATTGACAAGCCCTTCGGCCTCTACCCCAACTTCCTCAGCCCAGTGAGTGGGAACTGGATGCAACGTGAGTATAGAGATGCCACTACCCCTCCCCCCCAACACACACACACACACACACACACACACACACACACACGTGCGCGCGCGCGTGCGCCACCTTCAACTGCTTGCCACTGGCATCCGGTGCAAGGCACCTGGGCTAAGGGACCAGGGACACGTTCGTCAGAGCCGAATGCTGGCAAGGCATTTGCTCTGTGCTCGCGGATCCCACCTGTCCTGCCAGGCACTGTGTGTGTGGGGGGGGGGGGTCTTCACTGCTGCCATTGCTATTGTGACAGGTGTGGTGGCTGCCACCTAGTGCGGCCCCCACACACCTGCTATCTCCAGCCTTCCATCTCTCAGGATGCTGCTGAGGCCTCCCTCGTCACCCCCAAGCTTGTGGGAGTGTCACGGAGAACCTTCTGGGGCAGAAGTGGCCCCCAGAAAGACCATGCATCCTCTCCGGCCCCTTTGATCTGGTGCCCCCCACCTCCAACTTTAATCTTTTGTTTGTTTGTTTGTTTGTTTTAATTCTTAAGTGGAGCCTAACAATACAGCAATACAAAAACCATGAATTCCCTGCAGTATCTTATACCTACAAGAACTGGTCCTGGGATTTCCTGCTGTCCTCTGTTCAGAGGCTTGCTCCTCCACTGGACAGGCGCCAGGTGCGAGTCACCCCTGGAGCCTCCTTTACAGCCCCCAGCTCCAGCCACTGAGACAGAATGGGGCTGGGGGGTGCAGGCTGGAGAGTGTTGAAAAGTCCCCCAGGACCCTGCGATTGCTCCCTTGTCAAGAAGCCTTGATTAGGAGGTCATAGCACAAGTTGGTGGTGGCAGGTTCCTTGGGCCCTGCTTCTGTGGGCTTCCCAGAGCACCTGGACCCTCCCTTCCACCGTTTCCGCTCAAAGACCGCTTTCCCTTTCCCCTGCCTGCAGCCCCACTTGTTGTGACATCAACAAGGGCTCAGGAGCAAAGTAGAGTGAATCTAATGGCTGCATGGCTGTGGGGAATTCACTTTCTCTCTTCGAGCTTGGTTTCCTCTCCTGCAAATGGGAGGAGAGCTAGAGGTATGTTCTTTGTGCACCACGGAGAGGTGTGGGAATAACGGTCAGAAGCGGCGGGAAACGGATTTCAGTTCATCATCCAAAGATGATATGCGTTGTTCTGAAAGATGATGAGTCCCCATCAGGAAAAGCATACGGTCTGGGCCTGGAGGGCTGGCCGGCCAGCAGGGACACCACGGAGAAACTGCAGAGACAGTGTCCTTCCAACCCTGAGTCTCTGTGATTACAGATCCGGAAGGCCCAGAAAACTTGACCCAGGAGTTTTCCCCTAGTGATGACCTCACTCCCAAGTGGCCTCCTGCAAAAACCACTTACAGAAATGCAAAGTATTTTTAACCAAAATGCACCGCCAAATCCAAAAGTGCAAGGAGAAAATGAAGGTTTGAATTACGGATTATGGCCATGGGAAGAGACAGTTCAATAACTGTTACTGCTTTTAATTGCGAGACCCGACTGGGTAAGGAGACAAACTGCCCCGCTGCTGGCGAGCTGCTCCAGGACGCTGCAGCAAAAGACATAAAGAGAGGGAGAGGGGCGTGGCTTCCCAGTCCCAACAGCCACCTTAGCAAATTACAGGGAGCGCCCCTCCCACCCAATGCCGCTGAGAGGCATAACTTTCTTTTTAGGCTGTGCCAGGGCTCACAAGGCTGAGCAAAGTCGGTCACATATGAAGAATTGTTTCATATTAATAAGATACGAATCAGGGGCGACTGGGTGGCTCAGTCGTTTAAGCGTCTGACTTCGGCTCAGGTCATGATCTTCCGGTTCATGAGTTCGAGCCTCGCATCGGGCTCTGTGCTGACAGCTCAGAGCCTGGAGCCTGCTTCGGATTCTGTGTTTCTCTCTCTCTGCCCGTCCCCTGCTTGTGCTCTGTCTCTCTCTGTCTGTCAAAAATAAATGAACATTAAAAATTTAATAAAAAAATAAAATATGAATGTGAGGCCTGCTGTAGAACAGAGGGAAGGAAGGCTGTCGAGTCCTGTTCACCCAGATGCCTGCCTTCCTCCTCCCCTGGGTTTCATATCTGGGCTCATCTCAGGCTTTCTGTGGTTTTGGCTGAGACTTTTTGGTAATTGTATATTTTTCCAACATATGACAACATTCCCAGCTTGCATAAGCTAAGTGTGTTCGCATCCCTTTTTCTCCTTGAATCCTCTGGATTTAAAGCTCATTTGCAACCACAGAAATTACAGGTTAGAGAGGAGTTAGGGCTGCATCCCAGTCCCAGCCCCCCCCCCCATACCTCCTTCTGGAAACTGAGCCACAGGGTAACAGGGGAGGCCAAGCCCCTCCTGCCCCTGGGACTTCACAGCCAAGACAAGGTCCCCAGGCCCCTGCTGGTACCAAGCACAGATGAGACCGCACCTCCCAGAGCCACCCAGAGCTCACATTGCTGCCTGCCCTTCAGCCTGGCCCCCACAGTGGCTGGTCTACTCCCTGAACCCCGCACCTTCCTCAGCGGGAGGCTGTGGCAAGTCCAGAGTCTCTGCCGATGGTACACTATGTCAGCTGCCCATCAGCTGAGTTTGGCCGTCTCTCTGGTTCACAGTAATTTCCTGAGGGCCAGTTCCCCACCTTGTAGGGTGGTGGCCTCCCACTGCCAAGTATGATGACAAGGTCAGGGAGCAGCAATGCCCGTTCCTGTTCAGGCTCTTGGACGCCAACTTGTGCTCCTCTTTTATATTTTATTGATCATAAGAGTGAGACCCAGAGGGGGAAATGGCTTGCCCTGAGCTAAGGCAGATCGATGTCTTCTGATTCCCACCACTGGGTTCTTCGTGTGCCAAATGACAGTTGTTCACTTTGGTAGAGGCCCGTGAGAAGCTCTGCGTGTGTCCCCAAGAGGGTGTCATGTCACAGACTCCCATGGCACTCCTGGGGGCCTGGCTCCCCTCTCCTGCACTTACCTGCCAGAAGACGTCCTCAACTGTGTCACACACATGCTGCAATCACATGACGAAGTCCAAACTCTTTGACTTGGCATTCAAAGCCCTTCCCAACACAGCCCAAACCTACATCATTTCCTTTTGGTCAGGACCTCCTGGACATCCACCGGGTGCCACACAGGCTATGGGCATAAAATGTGACTCATACACAGTCCCTCTGCATAAAGAGCCCACAGCCTGGGGTGCGGGTGGGGTGGGGGGACAAATAAACAGATACTGATACCATAGCTTTGGGAGCAGCCAGCGGCAAGGCACTCCCAGTAATCATAGGACCCACCACCACTGAGCGCTTCCCACATGACAGCCAGATTTGCGTGTGCATTGTCTCACTCCTCATGGTCACCCTGCAGGGAAGGACTGTGAGCGGGTTGATGAGGACACAGAAAAGACTTTCTGGGAAGGGGATGCCTGAGCTGGGGCATGGTAGGGAGGAAGTGTTAGCCATGTTGGAGGGGAAGGGGAGGGTCTTCCTGGCAGAGCGGTCACCCCAGATGTGAGATCGCATGGGGAGGCAGGGGGGCAGTGGAGAAAAGGGTGGCCAGAAGCAGGCCCAGATGAGGGTGGCGGTGACAGTGCCCTCGCCGTGTGCCTCTTCTGTGGGCTGTGAGCTGTGGGGGGTCCCTGAGCAGAGGCTGGCCTGATTTAACTTCCGGCCTTCCCCAGGCCCCTGCTCAGCACAGACCTGCTCCAGCCACGGACACGCCATCGACATGCTGGGCCTGGCATGCCCTGTGCCCCACTCTGTGCTGTGTCCTGATCTATGTCTTCCACATAGCATTGGGGGGTGGGGGGTGCACTGTGCTGGTGTGTCCCTCTTCACACAGCAAGGTCCAGCCCACACACACCCCTTCCTGTGGCGCCCCAAGGTTCAGGATGTCTCTGGTCTGTACCAGTTTTTGCTGAGCCCCTGCTGGGCCATGATTTGTTATGGCCAGAAGGAGCCAGAAGAGCTGGTTTACTGTGGGTAGTCCTTTCAGCCCAGTTTCCCGGTCCCCACCTGTCTTTACTCTCTGACTTTTGGTCCCTCTCTCTTCACACTTGTCCTTTCTTGTCTCTAAGCACCTTTCTTTTCATGCTCTGGTTGACTGTAAAGCTGCAGAAAGCATGGGCTCTGGAATAGCTATTTAGGCCCACTCAGTTTTCCCATCCGGGAAAGGGGTTGACAACGCTTACTTACAGGCTTCTTGGGAGATGGTTACAGATAATACAGTAAAGCTCCTGGCCTACAGTATAGAATTGGTAGTTTTTGACAGATTTACTGTTTCTTTTTCTCTCCCCCCCACCCACTTCCCCTGGCTTCTGTCTTCTTATCCCGCCTTCTCTAGAGTAGCTGGAAATAACTTCCCCATGGCCCCTTCACCACCTGAATCTGCCTCCCATTTTCCTTCTTCTCTCTGTCTTTCTGCTTAAATGAATCTTAACAGGGAATTGAAGTTTGCTCTTTGTTTATCTATCAAATGCCTTTATGTTTCCTTGTTGTTCATTTTTAAAGCATGTGAGCCAAGTGATTTCCGTGTCTTACTGCTCTGGTTAAGCGCTCACGGTTGACCCGTCTTTCTCCTGGGACAGCCCTGAGTGGAGTCACCTCCTCATTCAGCCACCGCCTCATGATCCCGCTCCGTGGCCAGCTCCCAGGGCAAAGAGGGGCTCTTCAAAACCCAGTTCTTCCCCTGTCCCCCCAGCTCCTTGGAAACTCCATTTATCCTAATCTGCTCAACTTAAGCTCGGTTTTTCTGAGTAGTTCTGTACTGTGACTAAATTAAGGCTCCCATTCCTCCTTCCCGTGGCCTTTTATGAACTTGTCCAGCATTAATTACCATCTTTGTCACCGGGTAATAAAAATCTCTGAACTCCCTGCCACCAGATTATCTTTTTAAAGAAATGCAACTCATTTACAGTGAATAACCAGAGGGCCTGCCTCCTTGGTCTGCTAAAGCGACATGATTTATATACCCGCGTGAGCCCGTGCGCTTGTGTGCCGGGTGACGGTGCTCAAGGTGGCCCTGGGTTCCCCGAGACACAGGCTGTGCCTTCCTTTCAGCCCCTGTTCTCTCAGGGCTCAGAGGCTGCTGATCAAAGCTTGCTCCCCACCGGCACCCAGCGCTGGGGGGCGGGGGGGATGCACACAGGCCAGCGCGTGAGACTCGCGCAGTGAGTCCCTGGGTAAGGCCTGCCTGGCGGCCCTACAGCTGGAGACAATGTTCCTGTCCTCTCTCCCCTCACAGACCACGTCTCGGTTGGAGGACTTGGGGACAGCTTTTATGAATATTTGATCAAATCCTGGTTGATGTCAGCCAAGACAGATGTGGAGGCTAAAGATATGTACTACGAAGCCTTGGAGGTAAGACAAGGGCCTGATTCTTCACAGGCGGTTGCTCATTCACCACCTGCTCTGGCACGGGCCCCTGGGTGTGTGTGGGGGGGCCCACTCCGCATCCCCCTCCCCACCATGGTGAGCTGGCCAGAAGAACAAGACCATCTACTCCCCTGCCGGTTGCTTTGCACACCCAGCTCGTGTCTCTTCTCGAACACCTTGAAATTAAGGCTGTGTTAGCATCCTCATTTTACAGAGGCAAAACCCAGGCTCAAGGAGGTAAAGTCATTTGTCCAAGGTCGCACAGGAAGTGGCAGTCAGTCTGCTTCTGAAACCATGGTGTGTGGGTTCTGGTCAATGTGTCAGAGCCCAGAGCAGAGTCAGCTGGTGGCCTGGGAGCCCCCAGGTGAGGCTGCCAACGCAAGAGCCTCAACTGTCTTCCTGGTGAGGCAGAAGTGATGTAATGAGCATGTCCAAACAGTGGAGTGTCTGGTCCTGCTCCTTCTCTCTATGTGGATGGGAACCAAGGCCCAGAGAAGGGAAGGCACTTGCTCAGAGGCACACAGGGCAGAGCTGGAGCTAGAACCAGATCTTCTAAGCCAGTCCCAGTGCTGCCCCCATGGTCCCTCACCCCCGCTCATCTGTCGGTTGGGTGTGAACTGAACAAGGGATGGGGGGCTGAGACGGGGTCTGCAAAGAGGGGGACACCTCAGGACGGAAGAGGAAGTTGGTTAGCCTGAGCTGTTGGAAAGGAGGTTATAGAAGCCCATCAATAGATACTTCTGAGCCCAAGTAAGGAAAAGGCCCTGGGTAGACTCCAGGCCTCAGTTTCCTCCTAAAGTAAGTTGAGCAAGTTTGATTTGCTCTGCTGCCATGTTGATCTGAGGTCTTATGACTCCTAAACTAGACTTCTTGCCCCTCTGCCCTTCTAAGTCGGTTCTCCACACGGCAGCCAGAAGAACTGGGTCCTTCGCATTTGGAATAAACTAGACTCCTCACCTTTGCCCACCTGATCTAGACCTCCTGATCACCTTGAACTCTTTCCCCTTTGCTGTGGCCCCCAGCCTTCTGCAGACCCACCAGACTCATTCCCACCTTGACGCTTTTGTACCTGCTGTCCTCTCTACGTGGAATATCATTCAGATGGCTGTGTCCCATTCATTGGTCAACTCAAATGCCACAAGAAATTGGCCTTTCGCCCCCTCTCTCTGTCACAAACCACAGACTTATTCTCTTCTTTGCCTTTATGAGCCCTGAAAATTATCATGTGCACATATTTGTTTACTTGTTCATTGTCTGTCTTCCCCCAAATAGAATGTGAGCTATCAGGGAGCAAAGATCTTTTCTGGTCATTCACTGTGTCTGCCTCCCTCCTAAAACAGTGCCTGGTACAGAGCAAGTGCATACGGTTTTGTGAACAAATGAACACATGATTGCTGAAGGGATGGATGGATGGATGGATGAGTGGATGGGTGGATCAGTGGGTGGTTGGAAGGATGGGTGGATGTATAGAGGGATGGATGGGTGGATGCATGGGTGGAAGGATGGAGGGGTGGATAGGTAGAAGATGGATGGGTGGATGGATAGATAGACGGATGAGTGGATGGGTGGATCAGTGGGTGGGTGGAGGGATGAGTGAAGGTATGAACAGATGGATGGGTGGATGGGTAGGTGGAAGGAAGGAAGGGAGAGAGGGAAATCAGAGGGTGGGTGGGAAGGACAGGTGGATGGATGGAGGGATGGATGGGTGGATGTGTGGGTAGAAGGATGGATGGGTGGGGGGTGGGTAGATAGACAGGTGGAAGGATGGATGGGTAAGTGGATATGGTAGACGGACGGGCGTGAACAGTTGGACAGATGGACGAGTGATCTCTAACTACCTCTGATTGCATGAGTCTGGCCAGGAACAGTAGTGCTTAAAGGAAGTGCATTGAAACAGGCCTCCACAGCCGTGGACCTTTTCAACTGTGGGCTTGGTGATTTGTTTTCCCCACCCAGCTCCCCAGACCTTGGTCATGAAGCAGCTACTGGGACTCCAGTCCCATCTCAGCCTGAGTCTCAGCCCCAGATTCAGCTTCGGCTGAGCTTAGACCGCAGCCAGTGTCAGAGGATCAGTGTTGAGCTTGCACAGGGGATGCTGCCTGGAAAGGCCTTCCTACATTTCAGCCATTCCTTGCAGGGCAAACATGGAGTTAGTGAACAGCCAAGTTCCCTGCCCTCAGGGCACACTGCAGTTGAGGCTTCAAGGGAAGAAATGGCCATGAATTATTTAAGCAAACCGGGAGCTTTATGGAAAGCACTTGATTGAACAGGAGAGAACTTGGCTCTGCTCCCTGCATTTGAGATCCCCAGTGAAGAGCCTGGAGTAGCTCTGACCCTGGGTAAAGACTGGGCCTCTGGCAAGTTTGGGGCTTTGAAGAATATTCTGATAATTCTCAACCTTGTCCACACATTAAAAATCACCAGGGGAGTTCTAAACTCCCATTGCTGGGGCTGCACCTTGACAAGGCTACTCAGAACCTCTGGCCTGGAAACAGCCTTGAAAGCTGCCCTGGGCAGGGGGTGGGACGGGGCGGGGCAGAGGTGGGGGGCAGGTTTCCAGTGTGTAAGTTAGAACAGTGTCCAGCAGAGGTGGGTGTGGATGACTCAGACCGGTTGACTGGGCCCACCCCTGAGGGTCACAGGAGGAGAGGAGGGGCAGCTGGAAGAACAGAGAGAGCATCTTGTCACTGTGGCCTCCTCCAGGCAGGTGCCTGACTGCCTTGTCTTTTTTAGCCCCATCTTACAGATGAGAAACTGAGGCTCCAAAAGGCCCACGGTCACACAGCAGCTGTGTCAAAGCCAGGGTACAAACACAGGTCAGATCGCTCTCGGGAGTGTGCAGATGGGGTCCTCTCCTGGAAGCCAAAGGAAGCCAGACGCTTTGCCTAACCTCACAGCTATCCCAGGACTTATTCCCAGTTGACAAATGAGGAGAAGGAGTCCTCAGCAAAGTGAAATAAATTTGCCTAGAATCACTCAGTTCTCAGACTGCAGAGCTGGGATTCAAACCTAGACCTCTGTAGCCCCCTCAGCTCTGCTGTCTCCTGCTTTGATTTAGGCCTAACCAGTCAGCTGGCAGCCTGTGCTGTCTCGTGTTTGGCTTAGGGTTTTAGAAGGCCTTGATTTTTAATCTTTGCACCTGTCTGCTTGTCTCAATAGCTTCCTCACAGAGAGGCTGGTCTGTCGTTTCCTCTTTACCACAATTACTTAGCCTGGCATTAACCCAGGATGGAAATAACCCACGGCGGTCAGTCTGGAAGGGATGGTGTTCGCACTGCCACGCATGGCTTCCTGGGATCGCCCCACGATATCAGGTTCCCCCCCAAATGTCTTCGGTGGGTAACTGAACCGGATTTCTGCACCCCGGGTTAGCCTGCCACCCCTCCTCCACGCCCGTGTGGACCCAGCTCTGCCCAGGAGCCAGGGCCCAGCCCAGAGCAGACCCAGCCCAGCAGTGAGCAGCCCCCTGGTGGCACAGGTGCCTTGGGTGCATCACATCATCAGAACCTCTGCCTCTGCTACTCAGTGAGAGTCCTGCAGCCAGCCCACCAGCCGGAACCTCACAGGGGCGGGAAAGGGACAAACGGATCCAAGAGCGAAGGTGTTTGAGTGCCGTCGGTAGGTCAGCCCCGGGCTGGAGGTTGGTGGCGGCGGCTTCAGCTCTCACGCAGCGCTCCAAGTCCTGGGAGAGAGACAGGCTTGCCACAGACACATACACACACAGCTACGGACACACAAAGCAGGGACGGCATCGTGTGGACAGGGAACAGGGGAAGAGAGGACCAGGGCAGCAGCCGTTTGGGCCGGAGGCAAGCCCGAGGGGCAGAGTTGGGGCGGAGCGTGTTTCTTGTAACATGCCGGCCACAAACCATAATTCTTATGTGTACTTGATTTTGTCGGTAAGTCTCTGACTTGCAGGTAAGCCCCCTGAGGCAGGGCCCAGGCTGTGTATCTCCAGGGACTATATCCCCTTGCACCGAGCCAGCGCTGGCACGGAGGAGGCACTCACAGAATACTGGAATACTCAAGGGGAGGGGAGGGCAAGAACGAAGAGTCTGGGGTAGGGGGTGGGCTGGAGAGGAGCTGGAATAGCCCACGTGCACGGAGGGCTCTCTCCACTGCACACACCTGCCATCTGAGCCTCACAACCCTGTGAGGTGGTTTATGCTCATGTCCCCATTTCATACACTTGGAGAGCGAGGCACGGAGAGCACATAGAACCTGCCTAATGTCACACAGCTAGGAACTGATGGAGGTGGCATTTGAACCCAAGGGGCCTGCTCCTGGGAGCCATGTCTGTGGCATCAGGTTAAACTGGTTCGTTATTTACTGAGAGCCGAGACCCCTGGAGAATAGATAGATCAGAGGGGCAAGAATGCAGAAAGAGGTCCAGCCCGGGCCCCAGAGGCCCCAGCCCTGGACTGGGGCCCACGGGCGCTGCCATCATCTCTGACTCCAGGGCTCCCAGGGAGTAACGGCAGGGAGTGAGGGGCATGGCGGCCTGACACCCATACCCCCCAACCTCCTGGGAGTCTTTTCTAGCCGTATCCTCCCCCATGGGAGTGGGGGATGGGCACCTCTCCAAGCCCCTTGTTACCAGAAGGAATAGCCATCAGGGAGAGGAAGAGAGGTCTGGGCATCTGGTCCTTGGCTTAATCCTGGCGTGGCTGGGTGACCTGGGATGAGCCACCTAACCCCTTTGTCTGTAGAGGGCACTGCAGTCATGTGCCTGGCCTGTCGTGGGCAATAAATGAGGGGGTGTGTGGTAAGGGCTTATAGAGAGAAGCTCCTAACCTCTTGTGGGCCCTTATTAGGAATCAGATAAAATATACAGATCCTCTTCCCATGAAAATGCACATACACAAAAGTGTCGCATACAGTTTGGCCTTTTGAACCTCCCAGAGCCCACCTACAGGCCAGCTGGGCTCCGGGCTAAGATTCCCTAATGGAGAATACAGTGGAGGATGGATAAGGAAGCATTTTTAAAGATTTTTTAAAAATCTTTGTACACAGAAGATTTAAAAGTGTATGTAAGAGGGGCACCTCTTGGGATCAGTCGGTAGAGCATGCAACTCTTGATCTCGGGGTCATGAGTTCAAGCCCCACGCTGGATGTAGAGATCACCTAAAAATAAAATATATGTGTTTTTTTTAAAGTCTAAATGAGAGACTCACCCTAGGGAGCTGCCTTGTGTGCAAGCCCCCAGCAGGCACCAGGCTTTGGCCAGGCGAGTGGCAGAAGGTCCCACAGGCCCCATCAGGGGCCAAGGTCAAGGTCAAGGGCCTCCTTTGCCTGGGATGGATGGCTCACCAGAGCTGCGGTCACTGCTGTCTGCAGAATGTTCATTTTCCGTCCTTTCCCCCCTCCCTTCTCTGTCCCCCCTCCCCCCGCCTCATGACCCCTCCCCCTGCCCAACCCCCACCTTGCTCCCAGGCCATAGAGACCCACTTGCTGAATGTCTCTCCTGGGGGGCTGACCTACATCGCCGAGTGGCGAGGGGGCGTTCTGGACCACAAGATGGGGCACCTGGCCTGTTTCTCCGGGGGCATGATCGCCCTCGGCGCTGAGGATGCCAAGGAAGAAAAGAGGGCCCGCTACCGAGAGCTCGCAGCCCAGATCACCAAGACGTGCCACGAATCGTACGCCCGCTCAGGTAACCGTGCGAGGGGAAGGGCAGCAGGAGAGACTGAGGCTAGACACCAGGAAGAACTACAAGCCAGCGGAGCGGCAGTGAGTGAAGGGAACGCAGTCTCACCTTGGAAGTTATGTAGAACTTGTACAAGGGACATGCTGTCTGTGCACTGAGGTCGTACCCGAAGTTCAAAGGAAAACAGGGGTGATGTATGAAGCACCTTGCCAAGTGTCGGCCCACGTCATCACCAAACCTCACAACACAAATAAACTGAGGTCCAGAGATGACTTGGCCAAGGGGCACAGAGCAGAAGGTCCTCCAGGCTCCCAGAGCCTAGTGAATTCCTTCTCCTGGAGCCCTTACCCCCAAATGTACCCCTGCCTCTCCCACCCCTCCACTCAGGGGATCTTACCGCCTCTGGCACCACCCCATTCATCACTTTCTTTGTTCCCAGATCACCAGAAAGCTTGAGAGCTCCCTGACCCTCCCCACCTAACCTTCAACACAGAATGGTCAAATGCTACAATCCAAAGTCACGTTAAAGAACATGAGCCCAACTCTCTGTTTTACACATGGGGAAACTGAGTCAGCCCAGAGCGGGGAAGTGACTTCACCAAAGTCACACTGCACGTGAGTAGCTAAGCCAGGGCTAGAACACAGGTCCCCTCATGCCCAGCTCCTTCTTATGTGCTGCCTCTTTGAACAGCACCCCTCAGAAAAATCCCTCCTCTGGGGCCCAGCAAGGTACCCACCACTCTGAATTTAATCCCAGGCTTGCTTGGAGGAGAGGACCTAAGATCTGCCATAAACATTCGCGGCTCAAGTGCCACTCTGCCACCCACCAGCCAGGTGGCCTCTGTTTTCCCATCTGCTCAATGGAAACACTAACACAAGTCTCCCAGGGTGAGATAGAGGGGCCCGTAGAAAGCACATTGCCAACCACCTTCAGCCACAACACGGAGGCGTTTGTTAGCCTGACATGGGTCTGTGACCCCTCCACTCGAGTCCACGTCTCCGGGAGCTGTTTTCATGAAGCCAGTGATTTGCAGCGGGTCCTCACAACGGGTCTGCAATTCCATTCAAAGAACCAGGGCCATAAACAAACAGGAAATCTCAGGAATAATAGAAAGCTTGCTTTTGTCTGGGACAATCAGCCCAGACCATAAAAGATATGCACTTAATAGAGCATGCTGCTCCAGCCCGCCTGCCCCGGAAGGCCACAGTGGTCGCTCCTGCCCTCACCCCATTAGCCGCTCGGCAAAACCACTGTTTGCCAATGGTCAGGAGCAGCTGCTTGATTTGAGCGATCGAAGGGGTCAGGGTCTGGCGGATCCCGTTTCTGCGAAGCCTTCCATGGAAGACTCTACATGAAACTGCAAAGCTCCAGTTGCCTCTTGAGGAAACACACCCCAGGTTATCTCAGGGTCCTGACCCAACGGGAGGAAGGAAGGTACACCTGAGGACCAGAGCTGGGCACTCGGCTGACCCAGACACGATGTGTGGGCATTAACAGGAGGAGGCCTAGAGTCTCAGACCCAGGAGGAAAAGAGAGAGCGTGCAGTCCAGGGAAAAGGCATCAGACAGGGTCACACCCCAGCTCAGTCACAGCTCGCTGTGTTACCTTGGACAAATTACTTGGCCTCTCTGATCCTCAGTTTCCATATGCCTGAGAGAGGGACCAAAACATCTACCTTAGCAAAGAAAACCATTTTTTAAGGATTGAAATAATGTCTGGGAGGCACCAAGCACAGCCCTTGAAATCATAGGTGGTGGCGACAGTCGTGGTTGTATTTGTGGTCCTCCAGAAACCAGGAATAGCACCAAATGGTCCAAAAACAAACAAACCCAACAACAATAACAGTGAAACTCAGACTTCATCAGGCCCTCTTTATCTAGCTGCCTCTGCCTGGGTATGTGCTTCTGGGCAGTTCTTCCCCCATCTCCACCTCAGCATTATCCCAGCCTGTCAGCTCTGGAAGGCTGGTTCGGGGAGGTGTGAAAAGCAGTTCCCTAAGAAAGGGGTCTGTGGAGAAGCATCGCTGCATATCAGCATGTTAAAGGCTCTGATAAGTCCTGCAGATGGAAGACTCTTTCACTTTTTCTGACCCACCGTTCCCCAAATATATTTCACCCTGAAATCCTTTCTTGGCTGAGCTCTGGTTTACACAGCTGGGGAACATCACCCAAACTTCTGTCTCCCCCGACTGCTAGATAGTTCATTTGGACTCTCAGACTCTAAAACTGCAGAATGTTCACAGCCTCAAGGGCCTTGCGTTGGCCAACCTAGGCTGAGAGGGAAGCTGTGCGTTTGCCAGGCCCAGCTCTGTCTGGCGGTACAGGCAGGTCCCAGCCTGTATCAGTCCATCACCACCCCTCACCCCGCCAGTTCTTCCAAGCCACGGAGATCTCTCCTGGGGCAGCTGGGTCCTGAAAAGCAGGAGGTGGGAGGTCTGACCTAGGCCCTCTGGTTGATCCTCCCCACAGATACCAAACTGGGGCCTGAGGCCTTCTGGTTTAACTCCGGCCGAGAGGCGGTGGCCACACAGCTGAGCGAGAGCTACTATATCCTGCGGCCTGAGGTGGTGGAGAGCTACATGTACCTGTGGCGGCAGACCCACGACCCCATCTACAGGGAGTGGGGCTGGGAAGTGGTGACGGTGAGTGGGCTGGTTGGGGGGAGGGGTGACCGGGTGACAGGTGCCCTGATGATTCAGTCAGGGGCCCCAACACCCTCACACAGGCACTGAGAAGAAGGTCGGGCTAGGTTGACGTCCAACTGAGGTCCTGAATGCCAAGGGTCAAGGTGAGGTTGCAGAGCCCAGTGTCCCCAGCTGGGCAGAAGCAGGCCAGGAACTGAGAGCCCACAGCCTTTGGGGCCTGGGCTCTAGTGCCAGCAAACTTAGAGGGCCAGAGGCAAGGCGGCAGCCAGAGGGACCCAGAGCACGTGTGGTCACTGCTTTCTGACCTTGAAGCCTGAGCTGATGGCGTTAGATTTCCCCTCTCAAGCAGGAATAGGCCACCAGGCCAGCAGATCACCTCCCTGCTCTGCCCAGAGCCCGCCCAGCCCTGGGCAGCCCCCACCGTTCTCTGGGCTCTGCTCCCCACCACCCATGTGTCCTCCACCAGCCCTCTTCTCCCCAACTACCCAGGAGGAAACCACATGACCTTCCCTGGGGTAACTCCAAAGGCAGGCATGGGGAGTCCAGAAGGATGTCTCCTGATGGATGCTAAGCCTTCTCTGTGCCCCCCCTTTCCCAACGTCCCCTAGGGCCCACTGCTCTGAGGCACCCACTGTCCTAGGGAGAAGCACGAGCATTATACTTGGGCATAAGCAGAGCATTATACTCGGGCAGGGCGCGGGGGCCCACTCAGGTTCACTGACATGGTTCATGGGCCAGAATCCCCCTGCTTCCCTGAAGGCCTGGTTCTGGATCAGTGAAAGGCAAGGGTTTTATGCTTCTGAGCCCAGTCCACAGACCCCTCAGTGGGTAAACATTGCATTTATTAAAAAAAAAAAAAAAAGGGGCGCCTGGGTGGCTTAGTCGGTTAAGCGTCCGACTTTCGCTTAGGTCATGATCTCGCGGTTCGTGGGTTCGGGCCCCGCGTCGGGC